GGTATTCCAAATATCTATAGACGCCCCGTTTCCAACTCTTCGAATGATACCCTGTTTCAATACCTCTCTGCCGTCAATCACAGCCCGCCATATTTGCGAAGGATGGTTCCCCAAATCTGCATCCAGGAAACTACTCTCTGGGTAGTAAGCCACTTTAAGAAACTTTGCACTTAGTGATGTAGGATCATCCATTAGCCTCCACGCCTGACGAGCAAGTAGAGCAAGATTGAAGATCTCAATATCTCTAAAACCCATGCCACCTAGGTATTTTGGTTTTGTCATGATGTCCCAAGCAACCCAGGCCGGTTTTCTTCTTCCTTGTTTACTCCCCCACCAAAACTGTTTGATAATCAAAGTGATGTTCTCACACAAGCCCCGTGGTAATCTAAAGCATGCCATTGAATAAACTGGGATGGCCTGTGCCACAGATTTTATAAGCACTTCTTTCCCTGTAGCTGAGAGTAATTTCTCCATCCATCCACGAACCTTCTCCCATACTCTGTCTCTTAAGTACTTGAAAGTACCCATCTTAGACTGCCCTACGTCAGTTGGCATTCCCAGATACCTCTCACTCAAAAACTCATTGTGCACATTCAAGGTCTGCTTAACATTATCTCTAACCACTTGGGGACACCCCTTGATAAAGAAGATAGAAGATTTATCATTGTTTATACGTTGTCCCGAAGCCTTGCAGTACACATCTAATAGGTTTGATACCATCGCCGCACCTTCAACACTTGACTTAAAAAGCAACAGGCTATCATCAGCAAAAAGGAGGTGGTTAACAGATGGTGCTGAAGGTGCCCCCTTAATCCCTTCCAAACCTGACGACTGAGAACTTGATTTTAAAAGGCACGAAAGGCCCTCTGCTGCAATCAAGAAAAGGTAAGGGGAGATAGGATCTCCCTGTCGGATGCCCCTTGTGGGTGTGAAATGTTCTAGCTTCTCACCATTGAAAAGAACTGAGAAGGATACTGATTGTACCATATTCATCACTATCTGAACCCACCTTTGTGCAAAACCCAATTTTTCCATCATGGCACGGAGATACGGCCACTCCAATCTATCTTAGGCTTTCATCATGTCCAACTTCAACACACAGAAACTGTTGGATTTACCCCTGCTTCTCTTCATAAAGTGTAAACACTCATATGCACAAATAATGTTATCTGTGATTAGTCTTCCAGGAACAAAAGCAGATTGTTCCTTTGATATTATGTCAGGGAGGACTGTCTTCAGCCTGTTAGAGACAACCTTGGAGGCAATTTTATAGATTACATTACAAAGACTAATGGGACGGAATTGAGAGAGTTAAGTTGGGTTCAGAACCTTGGGAATGAGAACTAGAACAGTATCATTGACACACCCAGCCCCCTCTTCCCCTTTAATAATTCTCAAGACTGCCTTCGTCACTTCATCTCCGCAAATATCCCAGTGCCTCTGGTAAAAATGAGCTGGGAAACTATCCGGCCCCGGAGCCTTGGTAGGGAACATTTGGAACAGAGCTTTTTTGACCTCTTCCTTCGTATATGGCGCCAAGAGCATCTCATTCATGTCATTTGTGACTTTGATAGGAACCTTGGATAGCACATCCTGCATACCAGCTACCCCTTCCGACGTGTACAACGTCACACAGAAGTCCCGAGCCAAGGTTCTCAATTCTGCAGGGTCTTCTGTCATGACTCCCAGGGAGTTGGCAAGTGCTTTTATCATATTTCTCTTCCTCCGCTGACTAGCTCTTAGATGAAAAAAGAGTATTCCGGCCCCCCGCCGAGAGCCATTCTAACCTTGAGCGCTGTCTCCACATGAGCTCCTCCCTGTGATACAGTTCTATTAGCTTCTCATTGATCTTTAATTCTACATGCGAGGGAGCAGTCCTTGCAGGATCAGCTTGCAGCCTTTCAAGTTCACTCTTCAAACTTTTTATCTCTTTTCGAACTGAGCCAAAAGTGCTCCTATTCCATACTCCCAGATTCTCTGATATCCTTTTGAGTTTCCTACTTATCTCTTCGACAATACCAGTAGGTCCCCCTTCTGTCCAAGGTGGACGTAATTGTCTCTGACCACGTCTCATGTGTTTCCCACATTACTTCGTACTTGAACTCCTTTTTATGGTGCGAGCGTTCTCTCCCTTAAAACTCCAGCAAAATCGGGCAGTGATCAGAGGTCGCCGCCGTTAAGTGTCTCAGGTATGCATGAGGGAATATTTCATTCCATTCTGCCGTGGCAACCGCTCAGTCAAGCCTTACTCGCGTGTAGCTGCCTCCCACCACCTTCTTCTCGTAAGTCCAAAAATGGCCTTGATAGCCCATATATCCATCAACATGCAAGCATCAACAACGTCTCGGAAACCCTGAATTTGAGCATTACTCCTTTCTCCCACTCCCACTTGTTCATCCGGACGTAAAACTTCGTTGAAGTCACCTATACAAACCCACGGGAACTCGCTCAAAGTGCTTATCCCCTTCATGACATCCCATGTTTGGTGCCTCAAATGTGTCCTTGCTTCTCTGTAAAACAACGTCATTCTCCATGGATCACTACCTGGTTCTTCCACAGAGCAATCAATATGATACACCGAGTAACCAAGAATTTCGATCTTTATTGGATTATTCCAGAAAAAAACCTAAGCCGCCACTTCTACCTTGGCTACTAACAGCATAACCATTATCATAACCAATAGTTCCCGCTAAGCTTTCTACCCTAGATCTATCAATCTGAGTTTCAACAATACATAACAGGGTAGGGGCAAAATTCCTCGCTATCTCGCGAAGCTCTCTTACTGTCACGGTGTTGCCCGCCCCGCGACAGTTCCAACTTAAGATACTCATTGCGCTCGGCGGCGCTCCTCGCCGGAGCCCTCCGTTATTGCATTGGTTGTTGAAATCCCTTCCTCGACTTCCTCCTCGAGTGTTCCTTCTGCCATACTCGCCTTCTTTGGCCTCTTCCTTTCCTTCCTTGGCGATACATAAACAGGTGGGAGGGGCGGGACCATAGGGTCACGTACTATCAGTTCCATGTGTTCCCCATGTTCACCTCCATCGGGAGATGTATCTGAACAGCTCGCCGCATTTTCAACAGAATTATGTTTGTTCGATGACTGTATAATCCCTGTCGAACCAAAAAGCGGTCCTTTTAAACCTCCTTCCCGCAAGCTATCTTTCCCAGCTGGGTTATCCACTGCCGGCTCTTTCTCCTGTGGTTCATGCTGCTGTTGCGGCCGCGCATTAAAACGCCAGCTCTAGTTCGGGTTATAAGGTTCCCGGCCTCTTCCTCTGCCTCCTACTCCTTGTCGTCCCCCTCCTCGCTGCGTTGTATATCCTCTCCCAGCGGGTTTGACGCGGACATTGTTAGCAAAAAGGAAATCCCCCCACTCAAAGGTCGTCTCATCATGCACACCGTCCCCACATTCCTCATGCCAATGACCGAACTCACCACAATTATAGCAAAAAGTTGGAAGCTTTTCATATTTTACTTGATACTTGAAGCTCTCTTCTCCCTTCTTTGCAGTAACAAATCGCTTGATCTTGGCATTGATGTCTATCTTTACTTTAACCCTCACAAATTCTCCGAAGAAGCCCGCTGGTAACTTCAGTTGCACTTCCTCTACCTCACCGATCCTTGATGCCAGCCCCTTCACAGCCGGCTCAATCAAGAACTTGTCCGGCAAACGGTGAATCTGTGCCCAGACAGAGAGTTTATTCAGCGCAAAAGTATCGGGTTTCTAAACCCATCATATTATTCCATGATTATTGCCTGCTCCCTAAACAACCACGGCCCCTCTAGCATCGCCTCGTTCCAATCACCTAAACACTCGGACTGCGCCGTGAACAGATTGGCTTTAATCTTCCTCCATACTACCGGTTTAGCAGGATTCCATGCCGCACGCATGTCATTGTATAGCGCATTAGGGCTAAATGTCTTGGGTGTGTGAACGCGAGCGATTGCCAACCACTTTGCCGGTTCCACCATGTCCGGTAGCTCCTCCTCACATATGAACCCATCTTCTTCCTCCTCCTGCAGAGTTAACCTGGCTAGCAGATCCTCCGCTGATTCTTTCCCCTGCCTCCCCTGCGAGCTGCTTGTCTCCGCCATCGCTTTGAAGATCCAATCTCAGCCTCCCCTCGTTCCCGTCAGAAACCCTAGAAACCAAGGCCGGGCAGGGTCACCCGGACCCCCCTGAATCAGCCCGAGTTCCCGGGATCAAAGAGGGAAAAACGGCGCGGTGGCTTATGGTAGATTCCAGCAGGGATCGCCGGAAGACTTCGAAACCCTAGGTCTGTCGCCTAGGGGATTTACGAGATTACGATCCGTATCTTCGCGCTCAAATTAGTTAGATTCTGACAGACGTGAGCGACGCATTCATGGGCCGGCCCATATGAGCGAGCGTCTCTCTCATAGCAAATCACGACGGCGGACACCACACACACTCGTCCAGAAAAAAAAACCACTCCTCCATTCCCCACTTCCTCCCCAAACCAAACCCTCGCCGTCGGCCCGCTCCCCCTCCACCGGCGGCCATGGACGAACCGCAGGTCATCATCGGCACCTCCAGGAGCGATATGCTCGCCAGCATTGAGCGCAACGGCCGACACCCTGACACGCTGGATCTCGGCTCCAACATGATGCTCTACATGGTGTACCGCTACCTCCCGGCCCCGCCCGTCTCCCCCACCGCCACCCTCTCGCTCGCCGCCGCGTCCTGGGTCCCCGACGGCGTCGACCGCATCAGCCGCCTCCCTGATGTGCTCCTCCGCGACATCATCTCCCGCCTCCCCGCCAAGGACGCCGCGCGCACCGCCGCCTTCGCCTCGCGCTGGCGCCCGCTCTGGCGTTCGGCGCCCCTTTCTCTTGTCGACAGCCATCTGCTTCCGGACGGCGGCGCGTCCGGCCCGTTCATCATCGGCGCTCCCTCTCCCCGCGCCGTCACCGCCGCGGTGTCCAGCGCCCTCGCGGCGCACCCGGGGCCTTTCCGCTGCGTCCACCTCACCTGCACCACCATGGACGAGCACCGAGGCGAGATGGCCCGCTGGATCGACACCCTCATCGCCAAGGGGGTCAAAGATCTCGTCTTTGTCAACCGCCCTTGGCCGATTGTTCTGCGCCTCCCCGCCACGCTCTTCAGCTGCTCCACCCTCACCCGCCTCTACCTCGGCGTCTGGAGGCTCCCGGACACCGCCGCCGTGCCGCGCGGTGTCAGCTTCCCCAACCTCCGGGAGCTCGGCCTCTGCTGGAATGTCATGGAGGACCGTGACCTCGCCTTCATGCTTGAAAGAAGCCCCGTCCTGGAGATCCTGGTCATCATGGCCAGCCAGACCGGAGTGCGCGTTCGCCTCGTCAGCCGCAGCCTGCGCTGCGTTCAGCTCGGCCATACCTTCTTGGAGAACATCGAGGTGGTGGATGCCCCTCTCCTAGAGAGGCTCTTCCAGTGGCAAACTGTCGCCGCGCAGGGTTGCCGCGTCATGGCGAACCGCTCTTTCAGAATCAAGATTGGGCGTGCACCTAACCTGCGTGTCCTGGGATACCTTAAGCCAGGAGAGCAAGAGTTGGTCGTCGTGGTACAGATCTCAATCTGCAAGTGTACAACAATAATTCTAAGCTATGATCTGAATTAGTTTCTCTTTCCTTGGTTGCATTGCAGTCTGGGAACAAGGAGAACATTGTCCCTAGTGTACAGATTTTGGCCATGGAGGTGCCATTCGGTGTCCGCAATGCTATCAAGAAAGTGCCAGGTTTTCTGCGCTGTTTCCCCAACCTGGAGACGCTCCATGTCCAAGTAAAATTTGTTAACTACATACATTCGCTGCATTGGTAATTTTGCAATGCCAGTGTCCATGTTATCTAGAATGAACTGACCTGCTGGCCTGCTATCATGGGTTGGCTGCGGCGTCGCAAAGATCTTTCCCCCTTTAGTGATAGAAACAGAGTTTGACTGAAACTGTAGTTGTGATTTCCTTAGTGTTCAATACATGGTACATACAGGCAAAGACCAAGTTACAGGATAACTGAACATGACATGAATAATGTACACATGGATTCAGGGAACAAGTTGTTGCAACCTGCAGTATTCTTATCTGGTACTAACAAACGCATTCCGACATAATAGTTCTAAGTACACGTCTGCACCACTTACCGTAGCAGCCACGCAGCAAAACAGGATTTGTCACACTTGGATAGCCTATTAGCAAGTGCACTCTGTTTTGTATCGCGTCTTTACCGTCTTAGCAGAATCATAGTGCATCCAGTGGAGGGTTCAAAGTAAGTGTAGCCTGTCTGGTAATTTTGCAATACTAGTGTCCATGTTATATAGCATTGTCAGAACTGTGAATCAGACTATTAATTACTGCACGTATGCAGTCCCCCCGCATACGTGAGGAGTCCACCAGCAAGGTCAATCTCAAGTTCTGGCAGGAGGGCGGTCCCATCAAATGCGTGGTGCAGAGCATGAAGAAGTTGTTCTTCTACGAG